CGGAATTAGGCCAATCCTTTTCACCCCAGCAAATCGAAAACATCTTGTACTTTGCACACAAAGCTTCCATTGCGAATCAATACCAGGAACAAGGCTATAAGCTCCTATCTAGATGGTATAGGGTCCCTGTGGTTCTCCACAGAATGCCTGCTCTCACTTCCCCCCTTGTGATTCTGAGGTGAGAACTCTTTCTCATGTGTTCTGGTACTGTTCTAAACTTTGCCCCTTTTGGGATTTGGTTCGCTCGGTCCTCCAACAACTCTGCATGAAGGACCTGGGATGCCACCCCACAACTTACCTTCTACATATGACTGACAGTTCAATTGCTAAATATAAGAAAACTTTTGCGATTCCCCTTTTATATGCAGGCAGAGCCTGTATTAAAACTAGCACATTTCCCCACTGAAGGAGATCCCACCACAAAGTCAATCATGCAACTATATTGTTATATATGAAAACATATAATTTATTAAACAAATACAAAAACTCAATCCTAAAACATATAACACACGTATGTATTGCACATAATTCACACTCGGCTAATACTAGTAGAGGTAATTGTAATATGGACCCCTCAAATATCCGAATCAATTATAAAAGTGACTTTGTGATAAGAAAAAACTGTTCACAGATTCTTGTTATCTGTATAAAACAAACTAAGAGTATTCTCTGTGATAGCCAATCTGTGTGGGGCACATATATGAGCCGATAAACACACGGTATCGATATCTTCAAAGTGCCAAAATCCAGTACATATCATATCTCCATGGATGTGAGATATATATAGAAAATAGCTCGATGAACAGGATAAATAGTATCAAGTGACACTAACCGTGTCGATTCAAACCTAGGTTCAGCAAGGATGATGAAAGATGGATTCAAGGCTGTAGGTACGGCCGTACAATTGACAGTGAGTATACGTATACTTAGCTGGTGCTATCAACACCGTGGATTCTTTTCATAGCTTCACAAGATCGAAGTGTCGGCAAGTGTCCACGCTGTAACTTCTGGTATCAAAGTGGAATCACTCGTGAAGGACTTTTGGATAAGAGGGACATCCATAAAGCCGAGGTGAATGGAAACCACGCCGTATCCTTAACGCGTTTCTCCCCAAACAGGGCTTCGTCAGAAGTGCGTAGTTTGCTCATACTCAAAACCAAACGGTTTAAATCCTAATCAGGACATTCTAGTCACACTTGTTCATTAATTGCATTCCACTTGATTTCTGGGAGCGCGAATAGTAACCATTTGCATTCCACATCAATAATTAGAAATTCTTATAACAAATATTCAAAAATCAATACTTTTACACTATAAATTGGAGAAAAGGACTGTAGAGGCCATCAATATGGAATTAATATCTATCAAATTAAATGAATATAAATAAAGAATTCCATCAATTCAATGATCTCAATCAATAGATTATATAATGCATATTAATTATACACTGAGTGGCCAGATTATTATGACCACCTGACGTTTGTAGACAAATTAGCTATAATTTTGCTCTGAAGTTGCTAGAGGGCCAGACCATTATAAATAGGGAAGCAGGTTGTTTACCACGACAGTAGAAGTGATTTGTTTCTGAAGATACGGGTAAACAATGCGATGTAACAGCCTTTGAACGTGGGATGATTGTTGGCGCTCGAAGCCATGGAGCGAGTATCAGCAAAACAGCAGAATTTGTTAAATGTTCAAGAGCAGCTGTTGTTAAAGTGTTTAAAGACTGGACTGTCAGACGAAAATCTGGGTCTGAACGTGCAAATTGTGGCCGTCAGCGACTAGTCAATGTTAGGGCAGAACAGAGAGCGGCAAGACTGGTACAAGACAACAGAAGGGCAACAGTGCAGTGTCAGATTCCTCGCATCACCTTTCAACATCTCGTGGAGTCACGAAGTGGCGGCCCAACGAAGTCATCTCGTGGAGTCATCTCGTGGCCCAACGAAGTACTGATGGGGTGGTCATAATAATCTGGCCACTCAGTGTAGTTCCGATTTTTAAACGACCTCAAAATGAACCTCATACAGACACATGAACGTGTTGGAATAGGATCCGACTCACAAAAAACAACTGAAATGAATCATGTCGTTTATACCTGGTTCTTCATATGATTTAGTAAGGTGTATCCATCTGCATTCCCGTTGTAATAGAAACGTATCCCAGTCTCCCCCACAATTCGAATTATGTACACGATCCAGAACAAAGAAGACGTCTGCACTTTCTTGAAAAAGTCTTTGTACGAAACGCATCAAAAGAAGTGGACACGCAAAGAGGTTAGGACACGCTAAGTTCGAAGGATTTTATTGTGTGATTATTCGACTGGCTTGTTCATGACGGATTGAAATATTTTTTGAAAAAGCGATTGTTTCTGGGAATCTTGTAAGTGTTAAAACCTGTTTTTGGCATATTACACTACGTGTTTATTATCCTCTCTGGGGAACGGATACGTTTTTTAAACGACCACACCTGAACCTGAAGCTTTCTTGTGAAAGAGCACAGAGTTGAGGAGGAAGTTCCTATTGTGAGTGGAGGAGTAAATGTTCACTGTGATCCGGGATTGTTATGCCTCTTTGAATATGGAAGTCTGTTGAGTGCGGTGTGTGTCACAGTCACCGGGAGTTTGCACACTACAGATATAGCAAGGACTTATCACTGATGGTTTTTTACATCTTGGCACTTTGTCACAATTTTTTTGCATCAATTTATGGTGGACTTTATAATTACCAATTTGCACCTAATCTCTATTGGAGATATTACAATGAGAGACATGTTTTATTATTTATGAGTATTTATTAATTATATTGGTTATATGTGATTTATTTGATACTTAGCACTTTATTGTTCACATATTATGATTATTAATTAGTGCAGTGCATCTGTTTGATCTAAAGAAATTAGACACGTGCGAATTAAACTTATCTTGTGTAGCATATGTAGACATTGGCAGCAAATCGCATGGACCCCAGTGCTGCAAATCTTATGGACACCAATGCTGCAGGTCTTATTTATACCAGTGCTGCAGGTCTTATAGACACCAGTGCTGCCGGTCCCATGCATACCAGTGCTGCAGGTCTCATGGACACAAGCGCTGCAGGTCTTATAGACACCAGTGCTGCAGGTCTCATGTGCGTCTGTACTACAGGTCTCATAGACACCACTGCTGCAGGTCTCATAGACACCACTTCTGCTGGTTGTGTCTTTGTCCCTTTCTACACTTGGTCATTTACAAAACACAGCATGCTGCCCAGAGTTGCTGCCAACATGCTGTCACCTTCAGCAAAACTGAAGACAACCCCATCTAAAAAAAAAAAAAAGCTAGTATGTATTTTTTGGCCAATGTATGTAAAGCCGCACTGAACAGCCAGGAGTCTCTATGATCAAGCCTTTTTGGCGAAACATGTGGATCTTGTCATGCTTGTAACATTGTACATTTCTGGGAATAAACTTTCTACATTGAGGTCCTGGGTATTGAGTGTGGCTTTACACACATTGGATTACCGGTGACGGCCGTGGTGTGCCTCTGTTGGCCGACACCCAGCATTTTGGATGGGACTAATGAGTTTGGGCATACAAATATGAGCAGTGTCCCTTTCACAAACATCTGTATTTTTTTGGCATTGCAGACTTTGCATGTCTCTTTTGACATTAAAAAAACTCCTTTGTCTGCAATTCTGTTTTTGTACACGGCTACAGCATATGTGAAGTGCTGTGTCCACTCTTGGCATCTGTATGATGGCAAGATGTCAGCCAAGTGGCAGGATAATGTTACTCTAGTTTGCATGTATGGAAGTTACCACATGAGTAGCTTCCCAATGACCATAGAAAGAAGATGCTGGTCCAGAAAGAAGCAGCAGAGAACATGGCAGCCATGACCATGGAGTGCCAATGGGAATGTAGACCTGTCAGTGTTTGCGGAGGGAACACTATAAGGTAATTATGTTACGTCCGGCACTCCTGAGGAGAGGTTCAGTTCTTGGCAAACTCTTTATTGACTATAGCCACTAGTCAGTTTACTTTTCTCCAGAGAACTGGTGGCAAGTTGGACCGTGGCCCTCCCCTTTAGGGCCTTTGGCTTGTGTTATTGACATCAGATGGAGTCGTTTCTGAGATAATTCAGAATTAGCTTGAAGTACATTTGACCTGCAGTTGACCTTCTTCTAACTCACATTGACCTGCTTCAAGCGGATTTTGTATTCCTATAAACTAGTATTGGAAAGCAATACCTCAGCTCTCAGGTGTTAACACTGGCAGCAATTCGCCAGCCCCACTATCGTTATGAGACCCCTATGAGATTGAAACCCTCACTAGTGCAGCCAGCGAAATGGTCCTTATCTGGCATGGCACCAAATTTATTAGCGTTCAGGGCATGTGAGGGATTGATTTCACATAGGTAAGTGTCATCAAAGACATCAGCCCGCAATGAAAGAAAAAAGATGACAGTATGAACCTGGCTTGTTTAGTAAAGTCTGAAAGCTGCATGTCCTAGCGTCACCCTGCACACCTCGTCACACCAATAAGGAGCGGAACTGAGTAGCACGGCTACAGTTTCCGGACGGGGGGCTGAAAAGGGTTGCACAGCTCTGTAACCAAGTTGAGGTTACTGGAGTCAGACACAGAAAGCTGGACAATCCGAGCATGAATGTGGCGGCGTGTAGCGCTCTGCTCCGGGTGTGCAGACAGGGCAGTAAAGGCTGGTGAGTGAAGTGCTGCCATCATTGCACAAGGCAGACCATGGTGCTGTCTGGCCCAGCGTACTTCTCTTCCTTACTGCTTGCTGTGAGACAATAGGGCCGCACCATTATTCCTTTCTGCAGAGCTAGGTCACGTGAAGTTAGCTACTTTTGGGGGTATAGGATTGGGACCCAGCTGTGGTGGGTTCTCCAATCTAATTATAACTTTACAGTAAATAAAGTGGGGGAGACCATCGTGTGCAAGAACTAACACTCCAAGGGTAACAACGCAGCTTACTATCTGACCATAAAATTAACTTTAGGTCTAACAAAACTGTAAAATGAGGACCTACCTGATCTATTTAATCAATTTGTATCCAATCAGCCAAGCCTATGCATTACATAAGTATTGTTAAATCTAAGGAAGATTGTAATGTGTGTGTGTTGAGAATACAGCCCCCCCCCCCCCCCCCCATTTTGTTGAGTGTTTCCCAAAGCGTGACAGTGCTCAACATAAAGAATCCTGTTATTTTTTTCAGCCACTTCCTACTATTTTATCCACATTCACACCTTCATGTTGTATTCAAAAAGGAAATGTGTTTCTTAAAGAAGGACATGAATAGGAACACCCAAAAAATGTGTTTTTTGTTTTGTTTTTTTTTCAAACCCGGACTATAGCCCAACCTTTTTTGCCATAGCTCTCTTTAGGGTCACAGGAGGTCTCAGCATATACCGCTATATGATGACACCACAGAGCTGCACTGCAGCCAGGAAAGATTTTGTGCCCAACAACTACCTCCTACAATCTAGGTTTCGATTGGCTAAAAGAAAAATGCTGAAGCCCCCCACCCACCCCACATAAAAAGAGCTTCGAAAACATGCTCAAGCATTAAGCATGGGTTCTTTAAGCAAAACTGACCATACTGGGACCGAAGAAGAGAGTTCGTACCGAAATGCGGCGTTTGTTAACTGGTTTCAGAGACGTTTGGTTGTGGGCACTGTGGTTCAGCTGCTGCACTACGGCAATGTGTGGCAGTAGTGCATTTTTTCACATTAGTGCACTGCGGTTCCTTTTATTTTTAAAGGAGAATTATGAGGAAAGTGAAATACACTCACCGATAATTAATTATGAGGAGAGTGAAATACACCGATAATTAATCGGTGTGACTCTGAAGCTGTCACACGTTGGCTCTATTCATTGGGAACTGAGCGACAGCATACCGCCGATCGCTCAGTCCCTGATCATCTCCCTGCAGAGAGTACACAGTGACTGTCAGTGGCGTGCCGCCCCCCCCTCCGACGCTGACAGGAGGGATGGAGGGGGCAGGCACAGCTGACTCTACCTCTAGAGAAGCATTATTGTCAGGATCTTTCCTGGCTGCAGTGCAGCTCTGTGGTGTCATCATATAGCGTTATTTGCTGAGTCCTCCTGTGACCCTAAAGAGAACTATGGCAAAAAGGTTGGGCTATAGTAAGGGCTTGAAAAATTTTATGGTGTCTCACCAGTCAGTCAAAAATGTCACCAGTCAGCATGACCGGACTATAGCCTTGCAATTTATGTTAAAATTTTTTAGGGACAGACAGAGCTTTCTTTTGGGTGGTATATAAAATCACCACGGGGGGAGGGGAGGGGGGTTATTTTTTTTACTATATAATGAAAAAAGTACCGTTGATTTAAAAAAATAAAATGTTTTCCCTACACTATGTCAAAAACACTTATTCTTACCCATATTTTTGTTAAAATATAAAAGACGGGGTCACGTTGGGTAAATAGACACCAAACATGTCAAGCCTTAAAATTGTGCGCATGCCCGCTAAATCGCAAAAAAAACGACCACACTGAAAATTGTCTATAGGCGACGCTTTAAACGCTTTTACTGCTAATTAGTTTAGCGTTTATAAGTGATTAATGGTCCTAAAATTATTGCTCTCCCGAGGTTCGCGGCAATATGTAACGCGTGGCACAATAGACGAAATCGCAGTTTTCGCACGTGGGCGCACCCGACGCATGTTTGCGTGTGTATGCGGCGGACTTTTAAAAAAATGTATGCTTCAATTTTTTTATCACTCCCTTTTTTTTATTTTTTTTACTCTTAACTTTATTGCTATCACATAGGGGGACAAGAAGCCCCCTATGTGATAGCCAATTTACATGACAAGTCCTCTTTATCGAGACATCCAGGGTATCCAAGACCCCTAATGTCACCTAGGGACCCCCAGAGAAGCTGATGAAGCAGAGATCTGCTTCACCAGCGTCTGAACCTGGAGAGTGACAGCAGAATACTGGAAGTGATGTAATATACATCACTTCCTGCGTTCGGGGACTGGAGAGGAGATCAAAGGGAGATCGTGCACTGACCTCCTGCCACAGAGCAGCGGTGCCGGTCCCTGCCTCGCCAGGCACAGCGGATCTCGGGACCGGCAACTGCAGATGCTGCTATTACAAGCGATCGGACGTCTCTAGAGACGCATGGTCGCTTGAATCTAAGGCTCCCAGCCGGACGGGAAGCTACTCGTCGGGCTCCGGCGGCCTCTCGTCACGGACAGACACATTTTTCAAGCCCTGGCTATAGTTCTCTTTTAATGTCACCACAACACTCCTTGTCAACGGAAGTGCATTGCAGTGTACCGCAACACACAGTAATACACTATTGTGAGTTTAAAAAAAAAAAAAGCGCATCTACTTTCAGGAGTGTTGAATTCCTATTGCTGGACGCCCGGGACATGCAGTTCCGGCGCTGGGCACATAGTTTTATTTCTACATATAGCCCTGCTTCAGGCAAGCAGGGCTAAATGTACAGAGGGGGAAGCATGCACTCGTGTTTGTACAAGTGAACAGCCTGCTTGTCTGTCCCCGGAGTTCTGCTTTAAAGTGAAGAAAAAAATTCGGAATGCGTTCATTTTGCTTCATTTAAAGTTTTTTTTTTTTTTTTTTTTTTATCTCTCACCAGCAATGTTCTACAAGCAGCTTGCAAAGCTTATCAAATGCCTCAGTTCAATACAATGACAGCGCATTTCCTAATGTGTCTTAGATGTTTGTAAGCTGTTTGGGAAGTGTTTGCCTTTAATGCATTTGCTTCCAAAAAAGGCAAACCTGCTTGACAAGGTGTTCTGAAAGCCTTAGACATTGCTGTACAAAAATGTGCCAAAAATGAGTTTCAGTAATGTATGGGATTCATGTTTTAACACTTGTTTCTTTTTAATATCTATATGATCTTAAACTTATAATGCTGTTAAAGTGGACCTTTACCCGTATCTTTAAAATAACAACAAACACACCTTTAGAAATGTTTAGTAATGACAATCTACAAACAGATACTTCTAGATAATTGCCGGCTATCTATTCTTTACACACCTTATTTTTCTTCCCCAGTCTTCTGACAGTGGCCATGTTTACTAAGGGCAGGTTACTAGCTCTCCTGTTACTTCCTGGATTTCTGGCACATATGACTAGACATGTGACCATGCACATTATCTCAGGGGTGGAAAATGCCTTTCCCTGAGATCTCATTAGATTTCCCAGCAATGCTCTGCTGATAAGGCAATCCCAGTGTGCATTGCTTTGCCAAACTGAAGCCATTTGCACTTTCAAAGCAGGAAGGGGATGTTCTGCAAGTGTAAATATTTCATAATCGCAGCATTTTACACCTGACATGTCTGTTATTATTAATCATCATACATAGAGGGATGCATTGGTAGAATCTGATTTTTGAGTGTAAAGGTCCGCTTTAAAGGAGAACTATGGGGTCAGGGCTTTTCCCCATAGTTCTCCTTGGGGTAACGGGAGGACACAAACTAGCGTCCTCCCGTTACCCTAAGCTCAGTATACCGCGAGCTACAGATCGCGGTATACTGAGACGCCGCAGCCGGAGCGGATCCCGACGTAGATGACGGGATCCGCCCAGCTGCGTGAGTGACAGCTGGCTCTGCCTATCTAGAGGCAGAGCCAGCTGTACCCGCCCTCTCCCCTGTCAGTTCCGCCAGTCAGCGCTGGCGGATCGGAGCGGGGAGGGGAAATCCAGCCCCTCCCCTGTCACGGCAGAGAGCCGTGACAGGATCGAGAGGTGAGCAAACCTGGTATGTGTTCGCTCACCTCCCGATCTACTGAGCCGACCTGTAACAGTCTCATTGTCACAGGTCGGCTAGAACTATGGAAATCACTCATCTCATAGTTCTCCTTTTAATATTTGTAAACATCATCAGTCAAATGTATTTAAACTGTTTTTGATTTTAATTTTTACATAACAATCAGTAGTAAATGGTCCATTTGTTTGTTTTGCTTATGATAGCAGAATATGAAAATCTTTTCCTTTTTTGTTTTGTAATATTAGTGCTGCCCTGTGAATGTTTTTATAATTATTCTGTTATTACTATGATTTTACAAATTTGAATTGACGTATATCAGCTAAATCTTTTATCTCTAACATGCAGTATGTTTTGGGTAAATTAACCAAAGATGTATTTTACAGAGCCCAATGTATATTTTGGTATTTCTGTACCAAGTAAAGCATATAAAACTGGCAGAACCCAAACAATGTTGCAGCAATATCTGTGCAGCATGGAGGCCTTAGAAAGGGACACATTTCACGTCGGTTTGGCAATTAAACTTATTATTCTTCCCTTTTATTTTTAGCCCCCCTTGGGTATGGAGACGAGAGAGCCACTGGCAGACCCCTCTGCTTGGACTGCGCACCAATCTTCCCATGAGGTATAAAAGTGGCAGGATAATCCAGTTTTTTTTAGTTGTGAACACAGATCCATCATTCTCACAAAAATGGTTTACAAATGTCATAAAATGATCTTCCACGAGTTATATATATCATACAAGAGTTATCTATGTGTATGTACTTAACATTTTAGAGCAGAACCTAAAAAGAAGAAAAAAGTTGATCCTAAACGAGATCAAATTGCAAGAGAACGACTGAAGAAGAAACTGAAAAAGCTTGAACGTATTCCAGCAGAATTTATTCCAATCGAGGACTTCATTCCATCTACAAAGCTCATGGAAGAAAGCAGGTATGATGATTTGTCAAGCTTTTTTATGGCCAGTGTTTTAAATTCACGTTATTTAAATTGGCTGATCAGAACATCTCCATTAGAAAGTAAGTCATACGGAACCAGTTAACTGTAGTCTATTGTCACAAAACATATGAGTACTGTTAATACTTTGATTGTAGCTATCCAACGTGGCCATCCACAGCCTGGTTTTTAAAGTGCTTTGTCTAGGCCCTTCTGGACTAGGCTTGGGTATAGCCTGTAAAGGACCTTTTGGGCACTGGGTGTCACATAGGGCACTCCTTTCTGGTTAAAGGTTAGAAATGGAGCGCTTTCCAGTGGCAGAGCTGCTAACTTTGCCTCTGCACTTGCCTTTTTCTGAAGACTCGCTTTATAAGTTGGCTAGTTTTAATTAAAGTGGTAAGGGGTTAGAATCCCAGTCAAGTTTTGATTTGTCTCTATACCTGCTAGGTAGATTCACCTGCTGCATCAGGCCCAGCCAAACTTTAGGCCTCCAACTGTAAAACTACAAATCCCATCCTGCCTACGGAGTCATGCCTATGGCTGTCAGTCTTGCAATGCCTTGTGGGACTTGTATGTTAAGTGTATTGCATCACTTCCCCAAGTCACTCTCCAGTTATTTCTATGGCAGCTGGAGAAGCAGATGGCTTCTTTGGGGGTCCCTAGGTGACATTAGGGGGCTAATCGACACCTGATGTTTCCATAAAGAGGACCTGTCGCATCCTTTTTGCTATTATATAGGGGGCTTGTTACCCCCCTATGTGATAACAATAAAGTTAAGTGTTTTTAGTCGCATATTAAGAAAAAAGGACCTACCCACATACACGCACTTCCAAACGCAAACGTGTCTGGTGCACCTATGTGCAAAAAGGATGATCGTGCCACACGTTGGATATCATAGTGAATGTTGGAGTGCGTGTAATATTTCTGGGACCATTAGTCACTGTTAACATTAAATTGAGGAGCAGTAAAAACTGTCGCCTATGGCCAATTTTGGGTGTGGTAGTTTTTTGCGATTTCGCAGGCCCACGCAATCTTTAGGCTTAACATGTTAGGTTTCTTATTTACCCGACGTGATCCCATCTTTAATTTTTTGTTTAAATCAAAAAGTCAGGTAATAAATGTTTTATAACATAGGGGAAACTATTTTTTTTTCAAAATTTTCAGTACATTTTTTTCTTTAGATAGTAAAAAAAAAATGTAAATTGTGGTAATTAAATACGACCAAAAGAAAGCTGAGTCTAAAAAAAAAAAATGATGTAACATTTTTATTTCAGTACATCGTTGCAAGGCTGAATGAATGTCAGTCAAAATACCTCAGCGCTGAATACTAAAAAAAGGGCCTGGGCAGGAAGTATCCAGGAAATATGCACACCCTTAAACGAATACTTTGAAGCACCTTTTGATTTTATGACAGCATTCAGTCTTTTGGGGTACAAGTCTATCAGCGTGGCACATCTTCCCTTGGGAATATTTACCCACTCTTCCTTGAAAAAGTGCTTCAAATCTGTCGGACTGCGAGGATATCTCCTGTACACAGCCCTCTTAAGGTCACCTCACAGCTTTGCAATTGGATTCAGGTCTGGGCTCTGGCTGGGCCATTACAAAACTTTTGATCTTCTTCTGGGGAAGACATTCTTTTGTTGATTTGGAGGTATGCTTTGGGTCATTATTATGTTAAAAGGTAAAATTCCTCTTTTATCTTCAGGTTTTTAGCAGAGGCCTGAAGGTTTTGTGCCAACACGGACTGATATTTGGAAGTGTTCATAAGTCCCTCCACCTTAGTTAAAGCCCCAGTTCCAGCTGAATAAAACAGCCCTAAAGCATAATGCTGCTACCATGTTTCACTGTGGGTATGGTGTTCTTTTGGTGATGCGCTGTTGCTTTTGCACCAAACATACTTTTGGGAATTATGGCCAAAAAGTTTAATCTTGGTCTCATCCGTCCATAACACATTTTCCCACAGGCTTTTGTCAGACTTGATGTACATAACATAATATATATGTGATTGTAGTATACAAGTGTCTGTGCCTACACCCATACTTCACTTTTTTTTTCTTCCAGTTACAGGCAATTTAGTGTTAAACGTTTAGGAGTTTTGGTTATGGATGTAGCCTCTGCTTTTCATATGGATTAGCAGATTCCACAACTTTTCTCGGATGCTGTTTTTTTTTCCCCCTGATGTTTCTCGGAAAGTCTGTTGGATCATGTTGGATGAAACGGAAAACGGAAATTACTCTACTAGTAAATGCCTTACAGTGATTTGCCCTTTCAGTGATTTTACTTCAACAGCTCACTTTTCATGTTTTTTTCTGTAACTGTACCTTGTTTGCTAGAAAACACAGAGATGGCATAGTTGGATAAACCCTACTTTATGGATAAGGCAGTTATCAGTAGGCATAATATCCTTGTTCACCCTTCTTATTAATTGTCTGACACAGTATGACCTCTTGGGTATATGCCTTGCCTATAAGAATGTATTTTAATTTGAAGATTAATTTCACTGTCCAGGACTTCAGTCTTGCACGAAGGCGTATCCTAATGGTTCATCAGACCAGAACAGGGGCAGTTAAACTTCGGCCCTCCAGTTGAGTGACACTACAAATCCCATCATGGTTCTGCCTTTGGAAGTCATGCCTGTGGCTCTGAGTCTTGCAAATACTTAATGGGATTTTTGGTTTCACCATAGCTGGAGGGCCAGTTTGGTTACCCTTGTAGAAGTCAGCAGAGAGAATCCTTCAGAACTAAAAATCCAACACTCCCAGAAGTGTTGGATTCTTTTTATTTTAGGCTTTCAGCCCCGATAGCAGGATTTATAGATAGAAAATTAATGAACAAGTGAGAATGCAAGTTTGTAGTTATTTGGCTTTTCTCATAGTAGCGTTTAATGCATCAATTCTGGTGACGTCTTGTTAATTTGCTTGTTGATATACTGTGATGTGGGAATTATTTTCCAACTATTTACCTCTGTCTTAATACATACAGGTGAAACTCGAATCATTAGAATATCGTGCAAAAGTAATTGCAGTAAGTACTGCAAAAGGGGCCCAAACCAAGTACTGAGTACATATGCATGCTTCTACTTTTCAGAGGTCCGATATTGTTCCATGTACAATCCTTGTTTTATTGATTGCATGTAATCTATTTTTTTGAGGTTGTGGATTTGGGGTTCTTTGGGTTTTCATGAGCTGTAAGCCATAATCATCACAATTATGACAAATCACGGCTTGAATTATCTTGCTTTGCATTTAATGAGTCTATCTCGTATATTAGTTTCACCTTTTAAGTTGCATTAGTGAAATAAATAACTTTGCACAATATTCTAATTATTCGAGTTTCACCTGTACTGTCAGGAAGGTGTTACAAATGACAATTTATCAGAATCTTACTAGTTTTAATTCTTAAAAATGAAAATGCTTTTTTCCGTGTGTGACAGGATTCGGTCAACCCCAAGACTGTCTGTAGAAGAACAGGAGAGACGAGCACTACTGATCAAGCAGTGGGCACGGGTCAAGAAGGAAGAACATGAAGTGGAGCAGAGGAGTATTGAAACTCTTCTGGAAGCTCAAAGAAAAGCTCTGGATGAGTTACGCTTCGAGTCGGAGGAGCTTTATCAAGCAGCAGTGCGCTGTGACCCAGACTTGTTTCCCATGACAAATCAGGGACCTTACAACACCGCACCTATAGCAAAATACAATCCTCCCGATGGGAAATACAATGACATTACCAAGGTGTATGTACAACAGTGAGATGGACAGCGGTGCTCTGTAATCGTTTTCTGGAATATTTTTTTTTTTGGTCTGGGGAAAAAATAAAAATGGACCTGGGGGATGTAATGCACAGTGTTTTAGTTTTATTAGAAACATGTAAATGTATGATTTGCAATTTGATAAAGTAATGTATAAAGCAGATCATTTAATTTTTAATGCAGCAACCAATACCTAATAGTTTGAAGGGGCAAAAGTTTTCTTTACATATGAACTCTTAATGAAGCGGATCCGTGACCCTTCAGCTGCTCTCCACAAAAAAAAAAGTGCATTCAGGGAGTGTGGATTTTTTAAAATTTTTTTATTTAAAGCTACTTGTCCAAGGGCTAAAGCGGGGGCCCAATCTACTTTTCCTTCATGACAATCTACTTGTCCCAATACAAAAAAATAGTTTTAATCAAAGCTAGGAATGCACCAATACCGGTTTTTCGGTATAGAGATTTTGCGTTCAGCATTTGCCGATACCGAATACCAATACCGGTGCTTCCGCTGGCGTGGAGCAGGCTTCCCGGGTAATCAGGAAGCCAGGCAGCGGGTAATGACATGCCGCCCGGCTTCCAGATTGCTAGGAGAGCCAGCTCCATGTTTTTGGGCCTGCTTGATTGAGATTGGCTGGGAAGCCGGTTTCCCGGCCAATCGAGCCAGCTTCCCGGCCAATCAGGAAGCCGGGTGGCGAGTAATGACCTGATTGACCGTGAAGCCGGCTCAATGCTGATTGGCTGGAAAGCCAGCTTCCTGGCCAATCAGCAAGGAGCCGGCTTCCTGGCATTTCGGGAAACCAGGAGGCAGGTCATTACTTGCCGCATGGCTTCCTTATTGCATGGGAAGCTGGCTTCATGTTCCCCTACTGCGCTGCCAGTCAGAGGAAATTTTCCTCTGGCCGTAAGTCCTTGTATCGGGGAAGGTATTGGAACATTTGGATGAGTATAAGTACTTGCCCAAATACTCTGTATCGGTGCATCCCTAAATCAAAAGTATTACACTGCTAAATAGTGCTCAGATCATTTGGAGGTGACATTTTCTCTTTATGGAACCTGCTCTCCAACATAGAACAGATGTTCTGTGCAGTTCCTGAAAGCTGAGACAGGTGGCGCTGTGATTTACAGCGCCACGGTCTCAGTGATCACACAGAGCAAGCGAAGAACGGATGTTCTTTGTCTGCTCTATGGCTGAGCTGTTGTGCTATGGTCTCGGGGGACCCGGAAAACCACGGTGGGGGGTGCGGGCAGGACACGATCGCTGCTACTTGTTTTGATAGAAGTGATCAGATCACTTGTACTAAACAAGCGGCGGCTCCACATGGCCGAAGCAGGGCTAAATGTACAAAAAATAAAAACTACGCACCCGAAACTGCATGTCCCAGGTGTCAGGAATGCCACACCCCTGGCATTTAAGAAACTCTGTGGATGTCAGTGGGAGAACGTCACTTCGACCTTGGATTTGTTGCACATTCGCTACTGTGTGTGAATTGTGTTCATTATGAAGCCAAACAGGAGTTCCTCGCATAGATCCATTAGTGACATTTTGCACAAAATGGCAGCTCAGTTGGAAATATTAGTTTTGGGTGGATTTAGTGTTGGTTGGGTGAACTGGTAAAGGAAAGTGTATGAACCATTTGGGGGCGTCTGCAGGGAAAACCGGTGTAAGTAAAGATTTGTCCTGGCGCCCCGTTTTCCCCGAACATCTGCTTAAGTGTGATTTCATAGGGATGTATAAGTATAGAGTCGCATTCATGTGGGATAACCTGCAATGCTTTAACGCTTTACTTTTGTGTATCTAAACCTAATATATTGCAGCTTACCAGCCCGAGGGATGTGGGGGCTGCATTACTTCTAGCTTTTCTGGCTATTTTTCACCTAGTGATCCAACCAGTAACACAATTCCATTTCTAGGGAGATGGAACTCACTCCTCTGTACAGTATTCCTCATCTCTATAACATAGGGAGAAGATGTTCTGTAATCCACAAATAAGAACTGGGCAGGGCTGGTAACACTGCAACATTGGGGGTTATACGCTTACTGCATTTTTGTCAGATCAACTGATATGTTTCTGTTCTTGCGCTGGTTTTATAGAGTCATGGGAAGATGTACCATTTTTTTTTTTTTTACCCTGAAATACACTCTAAAACGGAAGTATACCCATTAACTAGGTACCTCTAATGACGTTTCCCCCCATGGTGGCTGCTGCTTCTGTCTTGAGAAATATTACTTACATGCAGCCTCTGCCTGTGATGTCACAGCTGAAGTTTCACCAGTTAAACTGACGGGCTGGAGCATAGCAATCAGTGTGCGTCACTCGCTGCACAGCTCCTCCATTCTTTGCAAAGAATACAAAGGGGGGGGGAAGTTATTAAAACTGAAGCAGACAGAATCTGGAGCAGTTGCCCATGACAACTAATCAGCATCTCTATTCAGTTTGCTCAGGTAAGATTTGAAAATGAGACATAAGCTGATTGGTTGCAGTGCAAATCTGCTCCAGTGTTGATAAATTCCCCCCAAAGTGTTCTGTGATTGGACAAGGAGAAATGTGATGTACAACACCTTATTTTCTTTGGGGGGAAAAAAATAAGACATTTTCTGAATGGAGGAGCTGCCCCAGGAAGTGACACGCTGTGATTGCTGTCCTTCAGCCTCAACTGTCAGTTTCACCACCAAAACGTTAGTGGTGACATCACCGTCAGAGGCTTCATGTAAGTAAAATGTAGCCACAAGAAGGGCACATATCATTAGAGGTACCTACCTAATGCCCCAATAAAAATTTTTTGCCCACTTCAGCTTTTTTGAGTCCCAACTAAACATAACAGTTAGGGATGCACCTATACTGATACTAGTATTGGTGCTGACACTGAATATTTGGGCAAGTACTCTTACTGACCGGCAGTGCCACAAGGGAGCATGGAGCTGGCTTCCCGGTCAATCAGGAAGCTGGTCGGCAGGTTATGACCCGCCTCCCAACTTCCTGATTGTTCAGGAAGCCAGGCTGCCTAAGAGCAAGTGACGCTGGCTTCCTAGTCAATCAGGCAGTCGGGTGGCACGTCATGATAACCCAGGCCCACAGATGCCAGTATCTGTATTCTGTATCGGCAAGTACCGGGGGAAAAAAAATAAAATAGGTACTTAATACAGAAAAACAGGTATCTGTGCATCCCTAATAAGAATCTTCAAAGGATCAGTCCGGGAGCAGACACAACAGTCATTCGTTGAAGGGCCCTTAAGCTGGGTATACATGTGTATTTTTTTTATTCAACCCACAGGCTGAACAAAAAAATTGGACAGATTTCTCCATCATCAACGCTTCCAGGTTTTGATGGCTGAATCCCCCGCTGTGTGCACTGTATTCTGACAGCGTCTGCTGACCCCTGGTAGAATACCTGAACGGTGCTAGGAGCCGATTGGCTCCTACAATCAGCTGATCAAGTGAGGCCAGAAGAATGGGTTCATCCGGAACTGGATGAAATATGGCATGTGTAAAACCCAGCTTTGCTCTAAGGTAATAAACAGGGCTAAAATAAACAGGGTGTCAACTGCAGAACCCGAGAAAGGTTTAACTATAGCACATAAAACAGCGCACAGGTTATATGCCTTAAAAAACAGAGCATGTAGCCTTACTTCTATTATATTTATTGAACATTTTGTATTGACATCAACTTCTATACTTTCCTAACATCCACATAAGGTTGCATTTCTGTGTATGTTAAGTTGATGACGTTGCTTACATGATTGTAATTTCAGTGCTTGAGCAGGTCAGATGGCAATGTAAACCGCAGCAAAAAATCCGTGCTTTGAATTCATGAAAATAAGATGCTTCAGGTACCACAGCTAGTACTCTTCCACAGAAAAAGAAATGGAGTTGCTCCTCATTTTCACCCCACGCTGGACTTGTTTCCGATTATCTATCCAGTGGCAGGTGCCAGTCTGCAGGAGGATGCTTTCTCATCGTCCACACAGGATTACGGTTCTGTTTTTCTTTTAGCCGAGCCTTCTCACTCTGTAGTAGAGCTTCCTGCAGAGATATATATATATTTTAAAAAAATTTAGTATATCATTAGTAAAATCTTGTATCCTTGTATCCTAGACTAAGAGTTCTCTGTTGGCTTTCTACAAACTGTTTAGTCTTGAGTACATCTTGTCACCCACCAGATGTTTTGTTTCATATGTGCTTACCATCTAATGCTGAGCACAGTTTGAACATACTAAAACAGTAATGACAACTTAGGCATCAGAAATATTGTTATAGGACTCTGATGTGTAGGTGCAGTCTAAGCTGTGTTAAGCTGGCCATACACTCTACGATTTCCATTGCTGCCAAGAACCCTCTTTCGATTCTAGCTCAAATACCCCATCAAGCACAGAGCAATGTCATTTCGACAATCGTTAGCCATACTATTTAATCGATCGACGGAACGGATTTTTGTTTGCGCATGGGCAGTGTTCATGTTGCCATTTTTTTCCTGTACATAAAACACTACTTATCTATCGACTTTTGTACGATTCTAAAAAAGTTTGATAGCCTCACCCAAGACCATTCGTGGACGATTTCCGAACGATAAATCGATAGGTATATCGACACTTATACACTCATTTTATAGCAGAGTGACAGATAGGAAAGGGCTTGTAGTAACTAAATTGTATAGGCGCAAAGAGGAGGTTTATCTTGGTAATAAAAGGTTATAGCAGCCACCTCATGGAGTCTTTGTATTCAGGGCTTTTACCTTTAGGACCCATTTAATTCCTTGAAGCACAATGCATTTAGGCCTATCTCCAGGAATTAAAAAATTACCATTGCAGTGGGACTACCAACACACTGCAAGGGTTAACTGCTTGTTTTTGGCTAGGGTATTGTGTAAGGCAGGGCTCAAAATTTCCACTCGCCTGCTCGCATTTGGCAAGTGGAAATGCAGTGCAGGCAAGTGGAAATGCAGTGCAGGCTTGAGTCAGTACGTGACTAATGGGAGCAGCTGCTCCTGCTGGGCTCTCTGTTCTGTCAGCCGCAACTCTTCACTGAGCTCCTGCTTCTTATTTTATGTGTGAGGGGGCAGGGAACGGGGGGGAGAGGGTAATATTTTATATGTGGGGGTGCATGGAACAGGGCGGAGAGTGTATTTTATATGTGGGGGCAGGGAGCATTATGCTAATATTGTTAAAAGTTGTTAATATTTATTTTTGTAACTTTATTTTGCACAAAACATCTAACAGTGTAATTTATAAGATTATTTAAGAGGGTGGGTTTAGGTGCGGAGTTAAGGCCAAGGCAGGTTTGGGGTTAGGTGGGGCAACTGGTGTCGAGTAACTCCTAAGGCCTGGCTAGTAGCTCAGGACTTGAAATTTTGACCCCTGGTGTAAGGGACTGTTTCTTGCTGGGCACACACCTTACAACCATCGCAAGACTTTTGTCTTGCGATGGTTGTAAGGTACTTAAAAAAACGTACGATCTTCCCATCTTGGACAGGCAGATCGTACTTGCGATGATCGCAAGCCGCGCCCCCCTGAGGGCCGGGCTTCCGATGACCGCAATGCCGAACGGGCAGTGTGCGCTTGCGCACATCGGCCCTTCCGGCTTTTATCTCACGAACATGCTACACACCCGCCGAACGTCGTACGATGCTCGGCGGGTTTTCAAACATGTTCGTAAGTTAAAAGCCGTGCGAACTTACAGTAGTAGAGGTCGCACGGCTTCCACACACCTTACGATAATCGTACTATCGCGGGATTTCCCGCGATTATCGTACGATTATCGCAAGGTGTGTGGGGACCTTAAGCTGATCCAAGTTCTCCTGGCTGTCAGCACTCACACCCATCACATACTGCAAAGGTTAACTTTTTAACAGGAGATGGGCTTTAAGGCAAAATGAGTGTGATGGCAACACACCCTAAAACACAAGAAACGTGACCCTTTTAAACGCACTGCCATGCAATTCCAAATGAATAGCACCGCAGCACATTAGGTGCAACATTTGAAACGCCTTTAGGGGAGAAAAGGTATAATAGTCACATGCCTAAAAGTGGGAACATCTCTTGTGAGGAGATGCCCAAAGCATGCACTTGTGGGAAGACTTTAGGCCCCGTTCACACCTTTCCGTTTTGTCGGGCGTTCAACGCTCTATGAACGCTCTACAAAACGTACAACCATGAAAATCCCATTGTTTTCTATGGGTATGGTTCACACCTTTCCGTATTTCCGCCCGTCTGAACGCCCTACAAAACGGCTGACGCCCAAACAAGTACATGTACTTCTTTGGGCCGTTTTGGAGGGCGTTTTCCATTGGGATACAGCCAAGTAGCCTTCGGGGTTGCGCGATTTTTTTTACCGCGAATCGCGGTAAAAAAACCGTGTGACGGTAGCGCGACAGACGTGCATGCGTAATACGCCTAGGTGTGAACCCAGCCTTAGGAATCCGGTCTGGCAGAGTAGCATATCTACTGAAAAAGTGCTCATTAACCACTAGCTGTCTGGGGCATTCTCTTACTATTTGCACACACATGAAAAAATATAAATTTTTGGCTAGAAAACAGCTTCAAACCTCCAAACAATTATATATGTTCTGAAAGCAGAGGCCCTGTAGAATAAAAAAAATGGTAGTTGCCATTTTTTACGTTACAGTTTTTGTGCAAATGTTTATCAAGCCAGTATTTTTAGGAAAAAATAAAAACAATTGCCGAGCCGCTCCACGGGGACAGCGGTGTCCGGGCAGACTAACGGTGGCCGCGGAGGGGGGGTAGAGGAGGGCGCCGCACGGTACAAGCAATCCGGCGGCTGTACAGACGCCGGATCGCTTGTACATTAACAGCCATCGCTGGCTTTCAAAAGCGACACCAGGAAAACGGCTGCCGCAGCGGACGTTTTCTTGTTTTAACCACTTTGACGGGCCGTCATCTAAACCACTTTAATGGGCCGCTATCTATAGACGTATTGCGGCCCGGAAGTGGTTAAGACACATTTTTCCAAGGGTCAAAACATGTGTATATTGTGTTATGGTTTATAACATAACGTTTCAATAATACAGCACACACAAAAAAAAACAGATTGTTGCATACCAGTGAAGTATGGTTAAAAAGAAAGAACACACTATGCGGTCTATTTATAAATCTTCCACCCATCCACACCCTGGGAACTCCAAGCGCTGCATGGCGCTGAGGAGCATAGGAAATCCCTATGCTCCTCAGATCCAGCTAGGGGCAGGAACGATGTGTGAATGCCATTTACCTAGCATATGGCTGGGCAAATGATTTATAAACAGACCCTTATGTATCTGGTAAAGGACAATTCCATTCCAACAAATCAGAGCACGTCTATGCCAAACGGAATGCTACATTCACAAACACATTTCATGTCCCACCTTGGCTTCCTGGCTATTTGTCCTCTCCCATTCTTTGCAAGCTGCATAGTCCGCTTTCCACTGCTGGCAAGTTGGTTTTTCTCCGTGAGTGTAGTAGTAATGGAAATAATGCCTGAGGCTCTTACAGTGTTTCCATTCGTCCCAGTAGTCGTTACAGTCTCGAGGAGGCTGGTGGAAGAAGAAAAAAACAAACCTTAAATTTCACTGCACACACCAAAAAGATATACTTATGTTTATTTCTTAAACTGGAACTAAACCCTCCTGTCCTTTGGCAGCAAGACCACACCATCTTAGCTTCTCTTTAGCTCTACGGTTGCCATGGTGCTGCACATGTGATCAGCTATGAGAGCAGCCATTTGGGGGCTTGAAAGTTCAGCTGAGAGCTGACAGAGGGACACTGGCAACCTTGACACTTATCACCAGAGACATGCCTTGAATGTAATATAACTGCACTGTAAATAAAAACAACAACATTGGTATGTGTAAACTCCATTTTGGTCTCCGCACCAGGGACGTGCAGTCAGGGGAGGCAGGCCCTCACCTAGTATTATGGAGGAAAAAGCTGTCAGCTTCAAGTCTGAAACTGACAGCTTTTTCTTCATTCAGATCGGCTTCTATCAGGTTACACAGCAGGAAAAGCCTCCCCGCTGTGTAACCTGTCATGGACGGAGTGCTGCCTGTTAACTACAGGCAGCGCTGCATCCAGGTTTTGACAGCTAGTTAGGTTACACAGCAGCGGGCTTCCCCACTGCTTGTGTAACCTAACTAGTGAGGCAAGAGCTGTCACAGCCTCTACTCTTTGTTAGAGGCTGGAGCTCTGTGGATGGCTTGGACCAATGGCAAAGTGCCCGGACCCAGAGGTACCGCACATCACATCCACATTGTCGTCTACAAAGGACACATACAAAAAACAACTGTTCTCTATGTGCCCTAGCGGTGACCGGCATTGCTGAAAAACACAACAGCAAAACACATATGTATTGCATCTGGGTGTCTAAATACTTCACACAAAACTGTGAAAGCCACACACATTATATACACATTATATATATATACACACACACACATACATACACAATAGCATTCTCATTATAAATTGTGGCATGCTGCTTGTCTGGTGTGTTTTGGAACATTAGGCAGCCCATTCGAACGCATATGCTTTCTTAGTGTGCATGTGTTACAACAGCGTATATCCAGTCATAGAGTTTCTGTTTAAGGTCTAATTCACACGGATGTGGACAGCGGTATGACATATATGTCTGTGCAGAAACCTGCGCTTGAGAGGGACAGCTGGTGTGTGTCCTCTATGACAGCTGCATGCGGACCCGAACTTACACATCCGCACAAGGACAGATGCACGCCCTTGGATGCAGACAATCTACGTCCGACGGCATGCATCCATACCTGTATGGATGTGTAAGTTCAGGGTGACGCATAGCAGCATGCTGAAAGAGATATACAGGTGGCTGCACAAGGTTACAAGCAGCACCTGCCCCTCCTAGACGTAGGGTTAACTGCTCGTTTTGGTCAGGTGAAAATAAAGAAAATGCTCTCACCAGATCCTCGATCCCACCTGGCTGCTAGACTGGTCCCTACATCGTCTTCTTCCCCAGGCTCCAGCAGTCTAAGCCCCACTGATGTCATCACGTCTAATGCACACATAAGGTTGTCAAGGGATGTACAGTGCCACAGCCAGAGTGGAGGGGAAAAGAGGGGAGTGGTCACTGCGGAGGAATGAGGATCGGGCGAGTATATTTTCTTTACTTCCGCCCCTAGACCAAAACAAGCAGTTATCCCTTGTAGTGCAGGAGTAGCCCCATTGGAAGGGTTAATGAAAAAAAAAAAAATCCTGGAGTTCTTCTTCAAGCCCTGCTGTAGGCTGACAACAGGGAATGTACTGAGTCTGAAGCAGACACAATATGGAGCAGCTTTGCATGGCAACTAATCAGCTTCTAGCTTTCATTTTCAAACGTTAACAGAACAAGATGGAGCTGTTGATTGGTTACCATGCACAGCTTCTCTAGATAATGTCTGCTCCAGTTTTAGTAAGCATTTTTGTGGATTGAATGGTGTCAGCCCTCCCAGTGGATTTTGCTGAACTTCTCCAATCTCTACAACATAAAGGCTAATCATTCTGTAGTAAAGAATAAGAATGATTGAGATAGCACAGGAAGTGTGCAGAGGACACCAGACAGCTCTGAATTTCTCTGACAGGATCAACAGGTTTTTATGCAATTAATAAACATACATTGCATAGCAACATGCTTTCACTGGTATATTTAACAGACCAAAATTAAGAGATCATTGTTAGGACTCACATACATTTCCACCTACTGACTGTCCCTGCTAACTAGGTGTATCTGTGGCCACTACTACTAGTATTTCAGGTTGAATGTCCCTTTAAATGTATTGACAAAAGGCAAACCATCCCTTTTGTGACTGTCATGCACTAACCAGCACCAGTTACACCCCGCACCTGCCCCGGCATACAGATACTGAGCCCTTGTCATATCTAATGTCACATAGCGAACTATCTAGATGTGTCCTTCAGCTCCAGAACCGCCAGTCACTGTACTAACCCTCCACTGCTCGGCCATGCTTCTTTCATTAGTCCCACCCACGTCACCCTCTGACCAATCACATCACCGTTTCTAAATCACCAATGGACAGTAGAAGCGAAAGAAGGCTGGCTGGGGAGGGGGCGGGGACTAAGCGTGTACGTAGGTATTTCCTGCTGGATGTGATTGGCTGGACTTCGGGGTTCTGGATGAATAACAGACCCGGGAGGACAGAAAGTCCTCATGAGTAAGAGCCGCGGTCTGAGCTTCGAGGCTTTCCTCAGGAGACCGTTTATTGAAGACTATGGAGGCTGCCACTACAAATGAGAAATGCTCTTTGCTGAACCAACAAGGAAGTAAACACCTCCAGCCTGTAAATCAAGCCAGATTAGCAAAGAAGTAATAATCATAAACTCTTCTAATCGGGGCTGGATTGCTGTCCCAAGGCCAGTTTCCACAATGCGCCACCCCAAATGGAGAATGGCAACCAGATGGTGGGGGCGGTAGGGTTGGTTTTATTAATTGTTTTAATTTATTTTGATTTATCTTTTTTTTATTTTGATTTATCTTTTTTTATTTTTTTTACTTTTTATTTTATAATTTTTACTTTTTTACTTTGATAGCATTTAGAGGTGAAAGGTTCTCTTTATTGAACCTGTCACCTCCAATACAGGAGTTCTAGCACAGCACTGTGCTGGAACTCCTGTGACAGCTGAGCGGGGATGGCTGCGAATGCAGCTCTTCCCTCCCAACGTTAACACGGAGCAGAGCGGAAAGCGGACGTTCTCCTTTCCGCTCTCCATCCTGAGCTACTTTGCCGTGGTCCTGGGTCCCCCAGAAGAGTGGGGGACCCAAAAACCACGGCAGGGAGAGGGAGGTGGGACGGACCATGGAGGAGGGACGTGGGGGGACAGAACAGCAGGCTGCATTGGCATCGCCGAGACTACTAAACGAGCTGCAGCTTCCCAGTTCTGCATTTAGTTCTGCTTGCCCAAAGCAGGGCTAAATGTGGAAAAAAAAAACCTAAGTGCCCGGAACTGCATGTCCCGGGCATCAGGTGATAGGAATTCCACACCCCTGCTCCCCCCAAGTCTGGGCCTCTGGCCTTGTGGGAAATCCGGCCCTGCTTATAATCTATATAGAGGGCAAGTAAATAGTTTGAAAGATTCAGCTGTTAGGCTTTATGTAAATATAATTCCTGTAATGCCGATGTGACTTGATTTATAGAGATGAATTGTTGTATCGCTTGTTGCTGCTACTTAGTAGAAAATAAATAATTTTGTGGTATTTGTAATCAAACATTTTAGCAGCTACTTGTGTAATAATCCTAATGTTTGGTACATAGGGGTCTATTAATACACAATGTGCACAGCCATTTGCCCTGCGAAATGCTGAGAACAATTGTTCTGTGCAAAGAGGCAATATACAGTATATATTATTGCCATTGCAGAACAACTCTTCAGAATATGTTAGGTGCCAGGTGTTCATGCAGATTTAAAGCATTCAATACATTTTAAATTGCTGACCTGGAATAAGCATGCAAATAAGGAGTCTTTATGTTCTGACATCACTTTCCACTTGCTTATTCGTGGTTGGAGGCAGCCAGGCAATTAGCATTTTCAGAAGGTCATACATTACAGCCCCATATTCCTTCAGTACAGGTTTTTAGGCTTCACTATGACAGTCCTGGACATAGCAGCTATCCCTATAATGAGGCAGACCGAGGCAATTGCTGCAGGCAGCATCTCATTGGGTCACGTGGCGGGGCGACAGCAGTCTTGCAACCTGTGATGCTGGCGTCGTGCCCAGCTCATTATTGACATCACTGGTTGCCAGGAGCTGAGTGAGACGCTCTGGCTGGCGTCCTGTCCAGCTCCTAGCAACCAGTGACATTAGTGAGCTGGGCAGGACGCCATGCACCACGAGCCCCCTTGGAATCTAGAATTTCCACCACAAGCCACTGCATTCCTCCTTTCCCCTAGAACATGCGCCAGGAGCAACTAACCCAGCCCCCCCCGGAATGTGCATCACAAGCACCCGATCCACCACGGGTGGCTAGACATCTAGGGTCGCTCCTACTGGATATCCTAGTAAAACAGCCTCTAAGAGCCAAGTCCCAACGCAGGCGGTCATCTATCTGCACGCTTGCAGTTAAAAAATGCCTCGGATGCAGGTGAAATGCAGAAAAACACCCATCTATAAATAGCTATCTGAGTAGTGCGCTAGAGAACTGGTCTTGTTACCGAATGTATCAAAACCGCCCAAAGTATTCCAATGGTATTTTGGGCTCTAGTTCACACCGCAGCGTGTAAAAAATACTGCAGCAAGCCCTATTTTACCTGCTTTGGAACGTATGCAAACGCATCAAAAACACATGCAAACGCACTGAAAACCCATGTTCAACTAAAAAAAACGTCCCGGAATGCATAAAAATCCACTGCACTGCGTGTGCAGAAACTCGTGCAGATCTGGTCTGCATTTCATGTGAACAAGGCCCTTTGGCACACATGCATCTAGAATATTGCATCCAGAACATGCTGGTCTAAGTCACGGTCAATTCACTAATGGCTTGTTGCTTTTCATGGTTCTTCCAGTGTTTGTACATTCCCTATTCTGCCCCTCCTCATTCAGTAGGTCATGCTGTACATTCCCTATTCTGCACCTCCTCATTCAGTAGGACATGCTGTACATTCCCTATTCTGCACCTCCTCATTCAGTAGGTCATGCTGTACATTCCCTATTCTGCACCTCATTTAGTAGGTTATGCTCTACATTGCCTATTCTGCACCTCATTCAGTAGGTTATGCTCTACATTGCCTATTCCGCACCACTTATATGCCATGCTCTATGCCATTAAATCATACATGTTAACTTAACGCTCTCCCCTTCTGTGTGCTTTCTTTTTCTCCATCTTTTATAACTGTTCTGTTACTTTTATTTTTAACACTTTATTACCTTTTTAGCCTCCATCTTCCTGATTTATGTGCTGCTTTCCCTGTTTAATGTCTTCTGAGTCCAGCTGGCAACAACTGACATATGGCTTAGAAGTTAAACAGCCCAATATAGTTAATTAACACCATTTGCTAAGATGCATGTCATCCCCTTAGTTAAAGGAGAACTATGAGATGAGTGCTTTTCACTCACCTCATAGTTCTAGCCGACCTGTGACAATGAGACTGTCACAGGTCGGCTCTGTAGATCGGGAGGTGAGCGAACACATACCGGCATTCGCTCACCTCTCGATCCTGTCACGGCTCACTGCTGTGACAGGGGAGGGGCTGGATTCCCCCCTCCGCCAGCGCTGACTGGCGAAACGGATGGGGGAGGGGGCGTGTACAGCTGGCTCTGCCTCTAGATAGGCAGAGCCAGCTGTCAGTCACGCAGCTGGGCGGATCCCGGCACAATTGTCGGGATCCGCTTCAGCGTCTGTTTACCGCGAGCAGCTGCTCGCGGTATACTGCGGCGTCTCAGTATACAGCGAGCTACAGCGAGCTGTATACTGAGCCTAGGGTGACGGGAGGACGCTAGTTTGTGTCCTCCCGTTACCCTAAGGAGAACTATGGGGAAAAGCCTTAACCCCCATAGTTCTCCTTTTAAGATAATCTGTGCTAGCGCATACAATGACTGGTCTGAGGCAAGTTGCAGAAATGACAGTTGCGGTCTGTCAGCCTTGGGATGGACAACTTTTGTTCTTTATAATACTTCTAGTTATAATACTGCGTTGACATCAGTCAGATAGACGGTAATATCCAAATGTGGTGTCAGAAGCTCCCACCTAAGTGCATTCACAGCCACAAGTGGTAAAAACCAATCACTGCACTTCAAGAAGCACAATGGTATGTGCACTACGCCTGTTGGAAACAATGGATTTTAGCCCAATGCATGTTGTGTGAATAGGCCCACAATGCATAATATCTCATTTACTGTACAGGCATCAGTACATAATTGTGAATGTTTCAGTGGCTTACATAAAGCATTTTTTTCCCGCTTGCTGTTCTTTTTAGATATCTCTGAAACTAAGAAGCCATGGCATCAATATTTAGCCAAATATAAATACATTTAATTCAACTTATGGAGCCACGTTTTGGCGGGAGGGTATGTGCCACACTGACATCATGTGACCATTTCACAAATTAGGTGTTCCTTGGACTGTTGCCTGTCAATTATAGGAAACCAGTTTAGAGCTTATGCCATTGCCTTTAAAGCTGAGCTCCATGCTGACATTGCAGTGTAAGTGCAGGAATCTTACTTGGCATCATCATCTTACAGTCCCTGTACAGCAGGGCTCAGTGAGGGGCAGGAGAAGCAGCACAAGGAGCCAATCAGATGTGCTACAGTGCAAAGAGCTGATAAGGGGAGCGAGCAGAGTGAGGGTGAGAGATGAACTCATCATTCTGTTGCTTCTGCTTTCACCGTCCAGCGACAGGGTGGAGATGAGGAGGAGCTGCAAATTAAAGTGAAACCAAAGCAAAGAAAGACCAGGTTTCCTCTCCCCCGCTCAACAGGGCTGTGCTGTAAAGCAGAGCTGTGTAAATCTCGGGACTGGGTGCCACGAAACACAATCCTTTGCCAGGTAAAATAGCTCCCGATTATGTAGTTGATCTGTTTATTTTGCCAGTTTGCCTGGAGTCCAGCTTTAAAGCCAACACATACAGAATTCAGGTAGAAATCTCACAGCTTCCTGCTATTAAAAAAGCATGCATAGCACAATTTTGAATACACTGTAGCTCATGAAAGGTGCTCTTCTGGAGTCAAACAGGAGGCCAAATGTTGGCATTCCAAGGTAGATGGGTTGCTGGGCAAACAATGATCCTTGCCTAGTGCCCACTTCGGAAAGCCATACAACAAAAGGGAAAATGGTACCAACAGGCAATTTACTGCAAAGAAAATTTGTGTTTATTTTTAGTAACACCAACTGCCTGATATTTACCAACAAAAGAGAAGAGGTGAAAATGACACTTTGCACTTTTATCAAAATCAATCTGCAAGAAGGAGCTGGGGACTAGAAGAATGTAGAAACATGTAAAACGCCATTTGTGGACATGTCCAAATGAAATCATTGTGAGCTATAAATAGATGTATGTCATTTTAGTTCTCTTGTCCTGATAATGTTTGATACTGTTTACTGGATTTTTCCTATGCAGACTATATTGGAACCGCTAAATAATTCAAGATCTCTTTCCAAGTAAATGGATAGTTGATCCTTGGTGTATCGATTGTCACAGGCTCTTCACCATCCTGAGGTCTTTAAATATTAAGACAATATACTCTCCTTTCTGTAGATCGCCAAGATATTTTTAATGCCTGGTTGACAACATAAAACCATGTGTGCTGCAGGACCACTTCATTTTCCACTTGTGAAGTCTCTTAGGGCTTCCTGCCTTTCTTCCTCAGGGACTGTCCTTCTCCAGAGAATGCAATGAAGCGATTAATAGTATCATCCTACATCAAGACAAAAAGAGTGACTTAAAAGCCTGGTACAGTCTGAAGACACACATAAAATATTGCATTAAAATAAACCATGCCATCCAATCTCTTCATATTATCCCATATCCTGTGCATAGAGGCTGCTATAAGCTCTTTATGGCTCAGTGAGAAGTAGTCTTTTTTTTTTTATTACTCCTTTTCTTATGTCACAGATTTTCAGCAATCACTAGAAAGCAGCTGGGAAATCTCAGACTGGAAATCAGATTTTAAAATGTAAAGTCTGTTCTTATATAGTCTATTTGGATACAATTACATCATCTTTCCTGTTTAGGTGGAACTATTTATTGAGCTTATCCAATAGAAATAATAGATAATTCCAAGTAATGGGTAAAGGTGAGATAAAGGAAGCCTCAAGGCTCTACTGTTCTTACACTGTAAGGTAATATGCTCAGCATCCTACTGGATATGAATTAGAGGCTAGTGGGCTACCTATCCCCGCCATCCATGTCAGCAAGTTTAGTGTATATATGGAACTAGGGATGCACCGATAACAATACTAGTGCCGATACTGGGTATTTGGATGACCACTCGTACTCGCGCAAATGCTCCCGATGCTATCCCAATACTGGAACTTCCAGGTATCAGGAAGCCGGGCGACAAAGACTCGCCCCTTGGCTTCCCGATTGGCCGGGAAGCCAGCTCTATGGCCAATCGGGAAGCCGGGCACGTGTAATGACTCGCCGCCTGGCTACCTAATTGGTCAGGAACGTGGCCAATCAGGAAGAGAGTAATTACCCGCCTCACGGCTTCCCAATTGGCAGAAAGCCGGCTCCATGCTTTCTCGTCGCCTGGTGATGAGGAGGCATGGAGACGGCTTCCCAGCTAAATGGGAAGCCGGGCGGGTAGTCATTACCACTGCCCGGTTTCCTTAATAGGACTATCAGTATCGGTGAGTACCCGAAAAAAAAAATATTGGTACTCGATACCGAAAAAACGGTATCGGTGCATCCCTATATGGAACCATTTGCTGTAATGCAATTGACAAAAAAAAAAAGACAGGCTAGAGATAAAAAGGCAGACGGCTCCACAGACTTACACTTTTATTACCGTTCTACAGATGACATTACGCTTCCCTATTACTACAGTTAGTAAAAATACCGTTCTCTTATAAAAATTGTCCTGAACAACATACTGACATTCTTAGATTTAAAAACTGCTAACGTTATTTAACACGCCAACAACCCTGATCTTTGTACATGTTCTAGGTTAGTGACTTCCGAAAGGTTTGAAGGCAGAGGATCAGCATAACAGCCAGGGAACAAGTATTTTCAGAAACAAAATCAATGGCAGACGCCATATTTCCGTCAAGACAGGTTTTTTTAAAAAAAACGAATTCTTTATTCCACAGAAAATACCATAGTGGGACAAATAGGTCATGTTCATTCTGGTTTTGTGAGTTCCCTGATTAATCTCTTTCCAAGTGGGATTTTAGAAGCATCCCTATCTCTGTATGCTGTTTTATGTGTAATAAAGAGCTATGGTTATTAAGAAATCTCAGCTTTAGAAAGGCTTTCTCAGAATTTTGCTGTTGTGGATATATTGGTATGGTGTTGCTTAAAGAGGACCTGTCCTGTGGAAGCTCTGCAAGCAGAGGGCAAATGACTGGTCACCAGTATTAGCTGTATGCTCCATGCAGCAGTTCTTTTCTGCATTACCGATTTTACCATCATGGTAAAGGGTCAGGGCTTTGTTTCCTGATGTCTAAGAGGCCCCCTGTGGTCACTGGTCGGGTAATGATAAAGAAGTAGCAGGAGAGGTGGAGGAACACAGATTTACAGAATGAATGGATCAGAAGCAGGCATATGGACAGTATGTGCTGCAAGTGCAGCACAGCAGTGATATTGCCAAATCTCGTGAGGCTAGCAGTACGAGGCACCGTGCCTCTCACACAGCAGATATACAACTTTTGAGGCTCAAGGTACAGAAAATACACTGCTAATTTTCATGAGGAACTCTAAACAGAAGTGCTATCTTTAATGTACTGCTTATGTACAATTAAAGGAGAACTATGGGGTCAGTGTTTTTCCCCATAGTTCTCCTTAGGGTAACGGGAGGACACAAACTAGCGTCCTCCCGTTACCCTAAGCTCAGTATACCGCGAGCTACAGCTCGCAGTATACTGAGACGCCGCACCTGGAGCGGATCCCGACTTAGATGACGGGATCCGCCCAGCTGCGTGAGTGACAGCTGGCTCTGCCTACCTAGATGCAGAGCCAGCTGTACCCGCCCCCTCCCCCGTCCGTTCCGCCAGTCAGCGCTGGCAGATCGGAGCGGGGAGAGGGGAATCCAGCCCCTCCCCCTGTCACGGCAGAGAGCCGTGACAGGATCGAGAGGTGATGGAACCCGGTATGTGTTCGCTCACTTCCCGATCTACTGAGCCGACCTGTGACAGTCTCATTGTCACAGGTCGGCTTAGAACTATGAGGTGAGTGAAAATCACTCATGTCATAGTTCTCCTTTAATCCTAGATGTTCCCTATAACATAGCAAATCTGTGTGTTTTTACTTTAAAGTTCAGGTCAGCTTTAAATTATTATTATACAGGATTTATATAACGCCAACAGTTTGCGCAGCGCTTTACAATATAGGGAAGACATTATATCACAATACAAATCAAGACAAGATGGTAAGGAGGGCCCTGCCCCTGAGGGCTTACAATCCAAAAGATATTGGTTTGTACTTTCACAAGTCAAACACTTTGCATAATGTATACAGACTGTAAGAGAAAAGGATGCTATTTTCCATGCAAACCAAACAGGTTAGAGTGTATATCTTCACTAGACAAATGGTGCTCATACATTGTTGGCGCCATTGGTAACATATTAAGTCTTTATACAACAGACAAATTCTAAATTATATTCTGAAGACACACATTGTTATTATCCTCATATCGTTACAGTATATGCTTAATTCAGTTGGCTTTTGAACAAAGCTAAGTAACATGAAGTTAAAAGAAGAAAAAAAAACTATAGAAAACTATACTTACGTCTTCTACTTTCTTTGTTTGGGGCCGTGAGTTTCTGATGAAAGTAATTGTGCCGATCTTGAATTCATAGTTTGGAATGCCTCTGCAATAGATGTAAGACAACAAATAACAAAGTAAAACTAAACCAGAGAGGAGTGCCCAAGAACCCTTGACAAGACTGCCAGCTCATATCCAACAAGAAATAAAGACTTTACTATAGATAAATAAAAATGAATAATATATATTTTGGACAATAAATGTCACGGTTGTTAGTCTGGGACAAATACTTGCCTCCTTATTTCTCCTGGCTTCAGTGGTGAAGGACTAGGATCGATTCCTTTCTTCTTCCCATCTAATCTGTTTCCAGAACCAGTAAAGGCCTATATACAAATACAAAGTAAAAACAGCATGTGAGCAGTGATTGAAAAAAACCCCATATATTTAATATAGCTTTCACATAGTAAAAAGATATTAGAGACTGTAACAAGTAGGTTGGTTGTTAGGGGAGCACTGCAGGTAACAGTCATCGCACAAACTAATTTCATTAACCCACTGGTAAATCTATCTCTACCTCCAAGCATAATTTATGAGCACATGAGACTTCCAGTTCCCAAATCTACTTAAAGCAGGGGTGCCCACAAGGTCGATCGCGATCTACCAGTCGATCGCGTAGCGATCACTGGTAGATCGCACTGTCCTCTCCTCCCGCCGCTTCTCTGGATCCCCGCTTCACTGGATCCGAGAAGAAGTGAAGGAACCGGCGGGGGAGGGCGGAGGACGGAGCCGCTGTCACAGAACTAATGAAGAGCGGTGAGGAGAGAGAGATAGAGAGACGCTCGGCCAGCATCTGACAGCCGGCGCCTCTATCTCCCCTCACTGCTCGTCCGTTCTGACACAGCGGCTCCGACCCCCCCCCCGCGGATGAAGTGCTCTTTCACTTCTCGTCGGATCCCCCGCTGCCTCTGCCCGGGAGAGCAGGGGGGATGCAGAGGAGAAGCTGAGCCCATTTGTGCGTGGCCGAGAGGCAGAGGATCGGTACATGTCAATAGTATGTACCAATCCTCTGTGTAGGACAAACACTGGAGCGATCGTCTGATCACTCCGGTGTTTGTAAATAACTGGGGACACATAGTACTATGCGTCCCCAGTTATAAATGAATGAACAGGATGTGATTTACATCACGTCCCGTTCATTCATGAGTTTCTCAATGGGGAGAAGCACTCTGTACAGAGGCTCCTCCCCATTCAGAAACTGCTTGATAGTAAATATTTTCTGAATGAATGGGAAGCCTCTTTGCTTTCCATTCATTTAGAATAGGGGCTGCAGAAAAAGAGATTGAGGACTTTGTGTCCTCAATTTCTTTTTCTATTTT